GAGAGGAAAATAAAAGATAAGTGGAAGGAAAAGAAAATGAGAAGACAAAATGTACTGGGGGTGGGGTGGGGATGGTGGGGGAGGGAGATTTCTCTCATTTTGGTGAGGAAAATGAATGAAAATCATTTTCTTTTCTTTTCAAATTCCTTGAGCCAAACCTAGTGTAAGGGTTTCATTCCATTTCACTCAAGGATGCATTATCAAAATCTGGTTGTGTTTTTACCCCGTAATGAGCACGAGTCTTTGAGGCACTGGGGCAATATTGATGTTGTTGTTGTTTTAGAAAAGGTATTTTAAATTATTATTTTGAGAGGTACCATATTCTCTTTTTCTCTTGAACCTCAATTTAGTGTGATGACTTGTGAAGGCAAGGATATGAGAATTTACAATAGCCTTAATAAATGAGAGGATGAATATTTTCCCTTCTAACTGTTCTCTTCAATCTAAACACACAGTTGCAGAGTGGATGGAGGGAGTGTTAATTTGCTTTTTCTGTTAGAGTTCACTGAACTTGCTTTCGTTAAGTTCTGCATATTGATCATTCTTTTCTTATCTTTGGTACAGAAAATCCCATCTAAATTTGCCAAATATATGGAAGGCATGACATCTGGGATGACAGCTTTGGTAGGTCCCAGTGGGAACAAATGGCATGTGGGATTAAGTCAGCTTGATGGTGACTTATTCTTTCACGATGGGTGGGAAGTATTTGTTAAAGATCACTGCTTGGAGTTGGGGATTATTTGGTTTTCAGATATGATGGCAATTTTTGTTTCCAAGTGCAAGTTTTTGATGAGGGTTTATGTGAGAAAGAACTTGCATTCAGTGCTGATTGCAGTCAAGATGTAACCAACTTTAACAATCATCATGAAATAAACAAACGAGATAGGGAGGGCTTAAGCGTACCAGACTACATTCCTGGAGGGTTCCCAAAGAGAATGAGAAACAATAGAATTCATTCTGAATGCACAAGCAGTGGCCAGGAAAATCTCATTGGAAAGGAAGAATGCCCAAGCGGAGTACTGGGTTGCTATAAAGAAATAGAGATGGATGGAAATCCGCTGGAAAACTTAGTAACTGTTGCTGTGCCATTTCAAGGGCCTCAGGACACAGGTAATATGATTAGCTATTCCGGAGTACTTAACATTGCACTGGGAGCTGATTTCCTTGCACAAAAGTTGATTATCAAGTAAACTTCATTTAGTAATTCCATCAGTAATTTTAGGGATATTTTTTACTCCATATCTAGCAATGAAGCAATACATGTGTATATCACTAATAAAGTTTTATTTTGTTTTTGGGGCTAAATCCTTCTAATAGTATTTGTATTCGTTAAATATATATTCGGGTTTCTGAAGTGTATTCATTCTTTAAATGATTCACAAACACGTGTTTGAATTAGATGCATCCTTTGGCTGTTGGGCACATGACGAAGATGTTTTGTTTTCCACACAAGAAGCAGACGCAGTTGCAAAGTCATTCACATCATGCTTCCCTAACTTTACAAAAGCCATGAAAGGGTTTAACGTCAGTGGTTCATACACCTTGGTCAGTAACTGTTTTTTCCATGTTCTTTCTGTATTGGCTATTCGCCTGCAATGCCATTTGATGTTTAATTTTTTTCTTCTTATTTACCCATGTTCACACTTATGAATATAAATCACCATTCTAGATCTGGCAAATTTCCTGAACAGGCGAACAGCTGCTAATTTCATCCAAGGTTGCCATTTATTTGATTTTTTCAAGATTTAGTGCTGGGTAATGGCTTAGTGATCATTTGGTAGGCATTTTTTTTGGCTTATATGCCTTGTCAAGAATTTTCTCTCAACACTAAGTCACAAACTCATTTCAGTTTCACTATGCTGGCTGAATCAGATTATAATGAAAAAAACTAGTGCAGAAGTTATTTTCTAACTGAAGACTGAATTTTTTGTAAATAACATTGCAACTTTCCTTTTTTAGATTTTTTTCTTTGATTTTATTAAAAGTATATTTCAGATAATTATGTTATTTACGTATATCCAACCAATTCAGCCATTTCAGCCATTCAGCCACTTAAGTCATTTTTGTCCTTAACAAATGTGACCTTAATGATTTACCCTTACCATTCTTTGCATCTGATTCACAAAAGCGGATCTAGAATGCTCATATTAATCTTTGCACTTGCCATAGAAATATGTTTTGTGAGACAGGTGCACTGAAAATTTTTAAGAGTTTATATGTCACCATGTTTTTTTTCATTTATCATTTTCTATTTTCCACAGAATCTCCCTTATCATTTTGCAACAAAGCACCTACCCAAATGCAAAGTGAAGATTGTGCTTCGTAATTTGAAAGGACAGAGTTGGATTGTTAATTCCATCCCTAGATTCCCTACAACTCGAGTACAAACATCACACACTTTTTGTGGAGGGTGGTTGGGATTTGTTCGTGACAATAATCTTGGTTTGGGAGATATTTGCATTTTTGAACTTGTCCTCAAGTGTGAATTTCGTGTTCGGATTCTCAGGGTGGAAAAGGAAGGCACTGATGGCTACACTAATAACCCCATCAAGGTAATACTAAAGAGTGTACTGCTAAACCCCACAAAGTTTAGGATATGTTTGGATACAATAAAATGCTAGAGAACAGAAAAAATGTGATGACAGTTTTGAATACACTAGAGATAAATAAATAAATAGAGTTTGAACTCATATCCAAATAATTACATACTTCATATTTCATATTTAATTTTGTGTGCATCTTTATTTTTTCATACAAACTTTCTTCCTTCTGATTTGAATTATTTACTGCTATTTTCTTCCCTAGTAAAGACATAACAACAACTACTGCTACAACAAAACAGCCTTATCCCAAATAACTTGGGATCAGCTATTTTCTATCTGTAGTAAAGAACGTAAACGTGAAATTTTATGACATGTGCAGTTTGTGGCAAAAGAAAAAGGAAAACCCAGTATATTAAAGAAATATAAGTCACATTCGCAAGTGAGGGCCAGCATTCGACATTCAGGTGGTTATTTGATGATTAAGCTACTGAACTTGATGAAATTTCTGCACAGTTTTCCTCTGTTGAATGAATAATCTTTTTCTGCAAATTTGGCACAGTTCAGAAAGGGACCGGTTCTCAAGATAAACTATGTTCTTTCGCTAAGGGTTGTATGTCATTGAAGTCAGCACCTGAAGAAAAAATAGCTGCTCAATCTTTCACCTCTAGCTTTCCACATTTCTTGAGAGTCATGAAGAAGTTCAATGTTAGCGGCTCATATACCTTGGTAAAGTAACTTTTTTTTTGTGTCATTTTTTTGTCAACTTCTATATCTATTAACTTTGTGGGTCTATTTGGAACTCGGAAAATGCTAGAGAAAGAAAATAGTGATTAAAGTGCATTAGAAATTTGTAAGAACAGGGAGAAAATAAAACATTTGTTCGAACTAAAAAAAGAACACTTTTCTAATTTTCTCAAACTCGGTTTACTTCTTAGCATCAATTAGATAAAGACCCAATTAACCTAAAATGTGTATTAAAAAATAAAACATGAATCAAATTTCATTTTCCTTTACACTTTCCGTGATAAAAGCTTAACCCTCACACACAAAAAATTGAATTTCCAAATCATTTTCCCTTTTCCCAACATTTGTTGGGATCCAAACGCACCCTACGGATCCACAAACATTTATTTGCTCACTTAATAATTTTTTTTCTTGATATCTTTACACATTTAATCTGTCTATCTATATTAGAGAAAGAATTAAATAGAATCTAAACATTTGAGTGGGTTCCAAAACATTAATCCTCTTTCATTTCCCTTACCTAACACTAGAAGACAGGTTTCCAAGCATTTAATCTCTTTTCCCCACCATTTTTTTGAAATGCAAAAAGCGTTTTGCTTTACAGAAAGTGCCATCCCAATTCTCAATGGAGCATCTACCGAGTTGCCGAACAGAAATTATCCTCCATAATTTGAAAGGACAAAGATGGAGTGTAAATTCTATCCCGACAACCAGGGTGCGAACACTGCATACATTCTGTGGAGGATGGATGGCCTTTGTTCGTGACAATGACATCCGGTTTGGTGATATCTGCATCTTTGAGCTTGTTGGGAAGTGTGAAATGCGGGTTCACATATGCACGATCGGGAAAAAAGGTTTGGATTACAGAAATGGGGGAGCACTTGAAAGTGTGTACTGATGGTGTTCCTGAAGGACTAAATTGACACTTCCCTAGCTGTTTTAGCTTGTAAATGAAATTTGTGTTTTAGGGAATTTCAAGTTCTGCTCTTCTGTCCATATACTTATGCACAAACCAGTGAGCAGTGCTTTATGAGTAAATAGATTATGAATCATGTTTTATCAGAACATAGATTTCTCCATGTACTAAAAAACCCAGGGGTTTCTCCCAACTGCTCAAACCAATGTGTGTTCCAATCACTTGTATCAAGTGAAGTGCTCTTCACCAGTTGGTTCTAGCTTCTATTGAGAGTACTACGGGTTTTATTTGTTGGTTTAATGTCCATGAAAATACTTACTATGACATTAATAAACTGCCTCTGTAAACAATTAAAAAAAATTGTATGTAATTACTAATTATTAAGACACATCCAACGCTACACCATCTTATGACATTCTTCCTTCTAATCTAAAAAATTTCATAAAAATGAGTAATTTAAAAATAATTTTAGTAAAACATTTTAAGTACCAAACATGCAAGTTTTTGTATGACAAAAAATAGTACAAGAAAAAAATCATATGGAATAGAGGGAGTATTATATTACTGGGCAATAATACTCCACCTGTCTCATAATTGAATTCCTTGTTTGACTTGATTTAATTTAAGAAAGATATTGAGAAATAAAAAATACTTCGTATGTGCTTAAAGCTTTTACCAAAGGAAGGAAAAAATTCCCCATACATTTTCTCTTTCGCAAAAGAAATTTGGAAATTGTGAAATTTATATTGGGAAGATAAAAAAATGTGAAATTTATATTGGGATGATAAAAAGAGTGAACTTGACAGTTCTATTTTTTTTAAAAAAGAAATGAATATGCAACACATGATTTCTACAATACATTTTTTTGAGTTTCTACAATTCAATACGGAGTACAATACTTTGGTCATTAATAAGGACTCATTTTGCCTCACAATTTTTTTTCACTTTCACTACAAAGAGATTAACATAGTGTTCTTCCAAAAAAACAACGTAGTGTTAAAAAGGTGAAAAATGTATGGTTACAATATGTTCCATTTGTTTCAAAAAGAGAAAAAACGGGCTTAGGAATTAAGTAAACACGGAGTTCGAGTGGTGCGAAGCAGATAACTCAAATCTTGATTCAGTTAGAAGGCCTCTGGCAGGCAGCAAATAACTGCCAGCTGATGAAAGCAATCGCCAATGAGGTGAATAATTCAAAGCCAACCACCTTTGGAAGTTGCCACCCCATCCCCTGCTTCAGGTAGCTGCAAACATCACACCCCACATATACACACACACCCTTTAAAACCACATTATATCTTTGAGTAAAAAAGGGAACCGCAAAAACGAAACAAAAACAGTCCTCTTTTCTATTTTTTGTTTATTCTTGCAGAGCATGCATTTGGTATAGTTAAGAGAAGATGAAGAGGTCAACTAACCTTGTTATGGAGGGCATTGTTGCAACAAACCCAGCACATGTATAGATAATTGGAACCAATGTCTTTGGTTTGCTTTTCCGCAGCCACATCAGAGATCCCAGTGCAGCTAGTGATATGTTGAATACCTCAAGAAATTACAATTAGAAGAGCAAACAGTGAGTTAGCATCAGGCATATAGAATTGATATGCTCAAGCACGATCCAAACATTACTTGAAACAGCCTATTACGTGTCTTAAAAATGTAATCTTACAATTTTTATATATTTTAGTCTTGTTTCATAGTTTACTTTTAATTGGAGGTAAAGGGCATTGGTAAAAATGTACTCCGGGGTAAGAGTATTTTTTTAAATACCAAATTGGCATTTGCCTCAAGGCCTTGCAGGATGTACTCCCAAGTGAACTCCAATCCTCTAGCACCCACCCAGAGGGGTGCCAATCTGTGAAGAACAGAATCAGCAAAAGCCCAGCCTGCAAAACAGAAACATTAACAAAAACATACTGAAGCGTAGTTTGTTCAAAATGTCAGATGCTCAGGGAAAAAGAGGTGGGTGTTGGTCATTGTGTATTAAGCATATCAAAAGTGATTGCGGTGTTGCACAGTCGTAGCAATTACAGAGTATTTGTTATTATTGTTGGTTCTGTTGTTGTATAGAAAAATGTTATCTGATCACATATTATGTCAAGCTATCTTTTTTTAAATCTCAAGTAATAAATATTTAAAGTGAGCCAGTTAGCCCTCCACAGTCCACACTCCTCAAAAGCACTCTATCCAAACTTACCATTAGGAAATCAGAAGTAGGTGTCCGTGTGTCACGTACTAAGACGGAATGAGTGAAACATCAAATGGCTAAGCTAGACAAACTACATATATCATAATAGACAACCCCTAAGTGGTTAATATCCACTTTTGATGGCCATGACCCCATGAGAAAAGTGACACAATCAAGTTCAAGAACAAAAGAAGGTCATGCAGGAAGGACACATGTCACATAATAGAGCACAGTTTACTGACCAAGTCCAACAGCTTGAAACTTATGGTTCTGAGAAATATTTCTGTGTGTCAATTGTGTCAATGCAAAATAAAGTCCTGCAACATCTATAAACCCGATCAAAGCTTTCAACAATTCCTGAAAAAGAAAGAGACATATCTTACAGTCTCTATTTTCCACAACAATAACAACCCAGTAGAATCCCACAAAAGCAGGGTCTAGGGAGGGTGTGTGTACACAGACCTTAACTACTTGAAAGTTGCCATTTATCAATTTTAAATCAAGGATAATAGTAAGCAGTTGTTAGATATAATCGGGTTTGTTCACATATAACCGAATGGGTAATGAGTCAATGTTCGGGTCAGTTAGTATAGAGTCAATTAGTGTGGTGTCATTTAGTGTGTTTTACATATTTAATTAATTTAAAAAACAGTGGGTAGTTTCTAAAAGGCAGTTATGGGTAGTTTCTATTGTTAATAGGTGTGTTGGTTTGTGATAGTTGTGTTGGTTAGTAAAAGTCATGTTGGTCTGTTCTCTATTTATATTTAGAGAACACAAATAATACTGTACAGTTTTACATCAATAAAATATTCTACTTTGCTTTGATTTGGTTGGTCCTGTCTAACAATTGGTATCGGAGCAAAAATCCAATAAGGACCCAATGATCAAAAGGAGTGGTTTGTCTTGTGATCAAGAGTTGTATGATCGGGAGTAGAAGGGCTGCCAGATCATAATACAAAGTGTTAGAGACTTCCTCGACAACAGATCAAGAATCTTCGACAAGATTCTTCCTCGCCTAGGACAAAAATAGCAGGGGGGCTAGTTTTTTCCTTTGGCAGAAGCATTCCATCCAAACAGCGCGGGAAAAACGAATCAGCGGGGTAGCTTTCGTTTAGTGGCTTGGAAGGCGGAAAAGCAGGGGCTTGTTTTCTGGTTGATGGTGGATTGCAGGTGGCTTACGACCCGGGAAGAAATCGAAGTTAAGAATTTTGTGAAAATTGTCGAAGGAATAAAAGTCGTGCAATGGGAGAACAACAAAAATAGACAGATTGTGACTACAAGGGAGAATGGTTAATAGTTTGCCAACCTTAACCCGAGGAAGAAGATATGCAAGGTAAACTACTATTCACTAAAAGTGATGGAAAAGAGAAGATTAAGGAGCACAAAACTGAGCATTGTGGTTGCTGGAGCTCAAACCTATAAGACTTTGGACGTGGCCGAGGTAGAGGTCGAGGGTCCGGGAAAAGTTGGGATGGTGGACAGTTTCAGCAGGAAAAGAGTCACATTAGGTGCTTCAAGTGCAATGAGTTAGGGCATTTTTGAACGAATGTCCAAAATGGGATCAAAAGGAACACATTGCAAATTTGATTAAAGATGATGATGAACCAACGTTGCTGTGAAGATCAGTGTGAACAAACAACGATTAGGGGCGTGATTGTTAGATATAATCGGGTTTGTTCACATATAACCGAATGGGTAATGAGTCAATGTTCGGGTCAGTTAGTATAGAGTCAATTAGTGTGGTGTCATTGAGTGTGTTTTACATATTTAATTAATTTAAAAAACAGTGGGTAGTTTCTAAAAGACAGTTATGGGTAGTTTCTATTGTTAATAGGTGTGTTGGTTTGTAATAGTTGTGTTGGTTAGTAAAAGTCATGTTGGCCTGTTCTCTATTTATATTTAGAGAACACAAATAATTCTGTACAATTTTACATCAATAAAATATTCTACTTTGCTTTGATTTGGTTGGTTGGTCCTGTCTAACAGCAGTGATCTTTGGAGATCAAGAATATCATAGGAAGCCTTAATTATTGAATCAATTTCATTTGCTTGTCTGTGATGTCTGACAGCTTTAATACTTCAGTTTAATAATTTCTACCTTCACTTCATAATACCTGCAATTTAGAATTTCTAAATGCAACAGCATGACCACTATCTCCTCGATATTTCACACCCAGTTACAGTTTAAGCTACCTTTAATACGGAGATAAGAGTTGCATATCACAAGATTTACAATAATCAAACTCAATGGTGTGAATGAAATTTTAAAGTTTCTTTCCAAATAATAAAAAATGAAATAATATTAATAAATTAATAATACTAACAATGTTGTGATAGTGCATATGTCATATGACGACAAAATGCTAACAAGAACAGGCTACAAATACCTGGGATGGCTCAAAACTATCACTTTCGGAAACATTAAGAAATGTTGCAAGGCACACAAGCTGCATGGAAAACAAATACGAAATTTTAAAACTGAAGTTGATAAATTGTCTTAGATAGATGTGAAACGTAAAAAAGTCCTTCCTAAGAGAAAAAAAAACATGGAAGCCTATTAAAAATAAAACCCATCCAGTCAAACACGCATTACTTACTGACCTTCACTAATGCTGTTCCAAGATAAACAACAGCAGCTTTTACTGAAGTACCAAGAGTATCATACTCAGACCTGCAAAAGTTTACTCAAGCACATTTTTCAAACATTTCCCATGAGAGACAATTGATGAAGTAAAATACAAGTTCTATCTTTGATCAATAAATCAAACCAAGATTTTGCAAACACAAACCCCGACTCATCCAACTTGACTGGACGGAAATTGAATACTAATTCACACCGTGAACCCTCAACGATCCTAACTTTTAGTGTTATCATAATCAACTTCCTTGTCTTAAACTACATGCAGTAAGAATTACGGGCAATGTAGTTAATTGAAAACTCGAACATATGCCAAATTGGTATTTTAAGAATATGATTAACATATTATTTTTAAAAAAATGTGATACTCCCTTGCTTCCTATTTATATGTGTCCATTGATCAAATCAATAAGCTGAAACAGACTCACTTAATATGGAGTTATAAGTCAGTATCATTCCAATTATTCTCTTCCATAAATAGATAAGAAGGGTAAATTCTGAAGGGGAAAAAAACAATCAATGCATACATTCATAAAAGAATAGTATATAATGAAAAGAAACAACCAAAACACAAATGATAGATATGAACCGATGGAGTAATATACTATAGTATATACTAATATCAACATTGTATTAGATCGCAGCTGCAATGCAATTTAAAAAGCCAGACTCCATAAGCGCACACAGAGCTCAGATTGAAGAGCGAGCCGCGAAGGAGAACAAGTTCGTACCAAATTGGAGCTCGAATCAAACAACTGATTGAAAATTATTTACAGCGAGAAACGCAATGGAGGGGAAACAGAAAGAAATAGAGAGAAAACTCACAAGGGAGTGGCGGAGTAGTATACAGCGTGCGGGCCGAATGTTAAGATCGCACAGTTGAAGAAGTGGAAAATCGTCATCTTCTTCTTCTTTCTTCGCCTGCTTCGCCTCGCTGTTACCCGGCTTCAGCTGGAAAGCTCAGACTGGAATTGGGTGGACAGAAGACGGGTTTTCTATTTGGCCCACTGGGCTTTCATCAATTAACTCCACCTTAATTATCACATTACCAAAAAAAAATTGCTCTTATTTATTTTTCACAAAGTAAGATTATATACGGAGTAGTAAAAATTTATGCTGAAGATAGAACATAAAAGTGATGTAAATCATTTACGGAGTATTTTTTTGTCAAATAGAATATAACTTAATTTTAAGACAAATGAAGAATAAAACGGAGCAATAAAATTTTTCAAATACATAAGGAAGAATATACTCCGTTTATGTTAAAAAGATAATAATCATCTATCTTAGGTGGGGGCATAAGACCATTTACAATGGGAGAGAAGATAGGCGCCGCGCCACTCTGAGGGGTGGAGCGAGCGGTCGGTGCATGGTAGGAAGGGAGGGAGAGTCTGGCGCTGTGGCACTAGCCGAAGCCAAACTTGTGGCCGCGATTAAGGCGCGGCGCCCAGATGCCATTGCTATGCCTCACCACGCTGTTGGAGGGTGTCTAATTTTTTTTTCAATTTCATCTATTTTTTTAAATTTCATGTTTTGGATTTCAATACTTAATATTTAATTTATGTCATTCTTTGTATTTATTTGTTTAATTTTAATTTTAAATTTTATTTATTTTTTACATATTATTATCATTGTTATAACTTGTACTCCGTATTACTCTTTATTAATACAGTAGTAATATTTTTTATTGCATACTTTTTTAAAATTATTTTTAAATTTCTTTTTTCTTGTATTTCATTTATTTATCTATTTTTATTAATTGATAAATGTTTTTACTAAATATATATTTTTTAAATAAAATGATAAGTAGTGTTTAAATAGAGGGACATGGTTATAGGAAGATATCATTGCAAGTGTTTTGCCTGACACAAAAGAAAGGAAATGATGATGTGACAGTGTTGAAAATGATGAATAGTGTTTAAGTTCGAACTAAAATTAAACCAAAACCAAACTGATGCTAACTTCACCGATTATAACCTATATCTAAAAAAAATTCGAGTCCATTTATTTCAAACCCAAAGCAATCTGATTGCCACCTCTAATGGTAAGTGCCCTAAGGTGTGAATGAAATGTACTTGATACCTACAAGTGTACAACTTTGAAAGTGCATATGGTAAAGGTGAAAAGCACACAAAAAAAACCATATAGTAGTGAAATCCTTGTCAAAGACTTTGTGGTTGAATAGCATAAATATGGTTTTTTAGGTAGCCTTTGATCATCAACTCTTTGGACACAATTGATTTTTTCCTTCAGTTGGCGATGAAATCCTTCAAGTTCTCCCTGTTCCATTGTTTGACGGTTAAGAGGTGCGCACAGTAGTGCCGCTTAGGTCTTTCGCTTACCCTAAATGTAGAAGGAACTGCTTTGCGTGGTCCTCCCACTCATATAAGTACACAGACACTAAAATAAACTCTAATGTTGCAAGCGTAGGCTACTGATTATATTCCGATTTCCCAACTTAAGACTTAGTCTCTTCACCTGATATGAAAGATTCTGATTTGATTGGAATAAATTTTGATTTGATCTGAATTGAATGTAGTTATATTTAAAATTATTTTTGATCCATTCTGAATTGACTCTAATAAAAATGAGTAACAAGTACTCCGTAATAAGAATAAATTGAGGAGAAAATACCCTAAACTATGGATTCAGTACATCAATTGTTTTCCTAAATATCCCAACCCGTACGTAGTACACCAAACAAAACGCAACCGAACCAGAAAAAAAAACACTTACCTCTCATTTGATCTGAACTACTTGAACTGTTAGAGACCAGCAGTGCAAATATTTGTCTTGCTTGACAAAAGCAGATGGTATTGGTGTTGGTATTATTTACATAACATCTTTGATTAGTTGATTCACACTCCTTGATGATTTGTCTGCATATTTAATACTAATAACAATACCTCGTACGTAGTCTTGAGGTCAGAGTGGTCGGTCAACGCGATCATCTTCTTCTGCCATAGTACAACCCGCCGCCAGAGTGTTGCAGATAGCGATGGCGTGGGCCCCCGCTGCTCCACGAGTTGCCCCGGTATGAACCTCTGCCGCCACTCTGCAACCAGTTCTGGTGTTGGTTACCACCAAGGGAGCCGCCGTTAAGAAGCTCCTCTTCTTCTCTGTCGTTATATTCCAACACTAACCGCTTGATGTCTTGCTTCTCTTCAAGCTCGGCTGCTTCTTTCTGCTTCGAGCTCTGGATGATGGAGCAGTCGCGAGGTATGTACATTTGTTTCGTCTGTTGCTTGTTTCCCCTTTTCACTAGAACCTTAACCCTAACCTCCTCCTTGCTTCCTCTTGAATCTTCGTCCCCCGCCAACGTCTCATCCCCACTCTCTCCTTCGGCCCCACCGCGGTGATGATGGTGATCCCTTGTGGGCCCCTCCAGTGCGTTCATCGGCATCACCATGTTAATCGTCGGCCTTGCACGCAGCTCCAATTTCCGCGAATCCAAACTCTCCTGCAATAAAGCCCTCAGCTCGCGGTCAAAGTCAGCCTCCTCCTTTGGGTCCACTTCAGCAACCTTTGACCTCACATGCACTTCATCGTCGTCTTCATCGGAACCGGGTCCACCGTCCACGTCATCGTACTCTACGTCGGAGGAATCAGACACGACATCACGATTCTCTTCATCGAATCCTTCGTCGTCGTCATCACGCCGCCGTTGCTCACTCTCTGAATCGCTATCTGTCTCTCCCGTGTTAATTTCTTCATCAACAATACCATCTCTATGGCTTTGACCTCCATTAACTGGATGTTCAAGTTTTGTGTCTAAATGCTTCTCAGTATTGGCCCTTTCAGTAGAAACTGTTCGCTCATGTTCATCAAGTTCCACAATTGCTGCATTAACTTCTTCAATTGAGGCATATCGGGTCATGTTGGGACGTAGTTCAGCAAACAAGTCCTGGAAATGCAATTTTTTTTAAAACGGTACACATTCCAAGCACGTGAAGAAGATGAAACATTCACAAATCACAACTGAAATATGGAAAACATAAGAGCAGAAAATGACCTGCAAATCAAACTCGATATCCAGGGGAAACATTCCTTTGCTCAAAATGTATCTTTGGAAATGAATTAGGAAGCGGTCGAGTTTCCTCTTAGATGAACCTCGATCAAAGTAGTGCCCACATGTTTCTAGAAGCGTAACGACCATCCTGATACGGAAACAATCCTCTGGTGGGTCCAGCTTGTCTTGCTAGACAGTCATTCATATGAGCCATCAAAGTTAGATAAGGAGTGTATGAAGTTGAGAGAGACATAGAAGCGCGATAAAAAATATGAGTGAAACACAGAGATATAGAGTATGACAAAGTTTTGTCTATAGAGCAGAAAATGCTTTTAGAAAATAAATTACGGAAAAAATAGCTCGGAAGAAAAAGAAGGTAATGCAGAGTAGATGAGGTTCCATACCTCTGCTGTTCCATGGCCATACACAAGGACCAGATAGAGCGTGTCAAAAATAACCAATGAGTCTACAATTTCATAGTTATATAGTTCTCCTAAAAACCGCATGTGAGCAATACGTCTCTGCTGCATCCCATAGTAATTCAACTCTAATCCCACCCTGATCTCCTCTAAAACCTACAAGCACAATTTTTCCAATCAGATTTTCATGGAAGAAGGCAAAGAACAAATTTTTTTTATTCATGAGAACCGATCCCAGCGACAGTTAGTCGTTCAGAAAAAGTAAATTCACACTATTCATGAATAATTTAGCCACTTATAATATATTCCTCGAAAATGTTTTGTGTGTGTGTGAGGGGGGGGGATAGGATTAAATTGTCTACATATGTTTAGATCCTAAGTCTTTATAACTAATGGAAATCAATTACTGACATGAGTTTGAAGTTTTGAACAAAAAAAGCATTGACTTTGGACCAATATTATATCGTCCTCCCTCACCACCCCACCACACATACATATTCTCTGCCAAATTTCTTTATCTATTATAGACAATGCCAGATTTTGGGGGAGGATGGAATGGGAGTCGTCAAAAAATAGAAAGATTTTCATAGAATAGAACACATAACCTCATCTATAACAGCAACGGCAAAATCATCGTGATACCGGCTCAAACCGGCAGTAAGGGAAGCAATCAAGTGAATTTGACCATACTTCCCCCTGTGCACCTTCATAAAGCACTTCAAAAGGTACGACTCACATTCACTCCAGGGAAGTTTCCGAAGCTGCCTAAGTACATGCTCTATAGAAGACTTATCAAGATCCGAGAAAATGAGTTTTCTTATGTACTGCAAAGCTCACCATAGGAAAAGGTTAAATTACAACCTTGCCAGTATAGACCACAAAAAGTATAGAGTCCAAGTATGAGTATTTGAACTATACCTGATGCAGAGGAGGGCGAATCTTAGAAACTCGTGCAGACCTTTCAGGAGGCTTGCACAAATAATATGCATTCTCCACTAATGTGATATGGCGGGGATCCAAATTTTTAACATTCTTCAACCGCATCAATATCTCTAGCATGTTAGTCATTCTTATTGTGGTCTCAGGAGAGCGGTAGAGAAAACGACCACATGTTTCCAGAAGATTGCATGCAACATCAATATTGTGATGAGTGAAGTCATCCAAACAAGTCTGGATGGAGGAAAGTTAACTCTTCAGTTAGTGATGTGAGGTTGCAATAACTCAGATATAAATGTCTCAATCTGACTTGAGAGGTTAACATTTAAATACTTAATTTCTGAACAAATAAACACACAAATACACAGCATGAAAATGTATCTGCATAAATAATTGTAATAATGGAACAGAGTTGACAAGCATAAATTTCAAGCTGTAAATAAAAGAACAACTTTGCAAAGTAACTCCTGCTCACACAGCCGAGGGAGAAAGGGAAGGCGCGGATTTGTTAGGCACACAATTCTAAACTGTTTTCAATAGATTCCCCTAGAAAAGGAAAAAAACAAAGAGTGTGTACGAGTGCACAAGTTGGCTGGGGTCGGGACCTTTAGACAACTGAAAACAAGACCAGAAGCTGCAATTTTGAACTTGCAGAGTTCCCCAATAAAACGAATGTTCCTTATTTTGCTTTCAATGTTTATTTGATCCTGCACAAGAAAAGAAACATGCTTACAAAATTCAAGATTGTTAAGCATCTGTGACTATTAAAAGCAGTTCAAAATAGCATTACCTTCTTATTAATCAAACTGTTGAACTCTTCTTCTAACAACTGTAAAAGCATGGAAGGCACATCCTTCATGCAAGTGGACAGTGTAGCAACCATACGTGAATAGTATGGCAACAGTTCAAGTGAAGTTCTAGGAACATTGAACAGAGCCCTCACAAGCTTCTTTCTGCTAGATTTAGAATTCAAGTAGCAAAATTCAACCTGTTGAAATATAAAACAAACAGAAAATAGAAAAATGGTATTAAGTAGTCATATTAAAGAGAAAGATAACTGATACTCTAAAATATTAAGCAAAACCGTCATTACCGTCAGCTGGTCTATCAAGTCACGGCTCACACAACGCGGGAGCCTCTGCAGTAAACCTTCCAAATTGGTTCCTTCGAGACCTTTAACCTTATCCTTTTCACTATCTACTCTTCTTTCAGACTCTTTTTCTTTCCCTTTCTCTTTGTCTGCTTCCTTGTTCTTTTCTTTATCTTTTTCTTCTTTATCCTTGATTTTATCATTCTTATCCTCTGTTATCACTCCAGAATCTCGAAAACCCTCTGAACTGTATTTGGCAGACACATGGCTCTGACCTTGATCCGAATCTGATGCCAATTCCTTTGCAATATAAATATAAATTATAAAATTTCCAAATTCAAATAAATACATACATAATCAACAGATAAATTGCATTGTTTCATTAAAACACAACATGACAATGAAATGAAAACCTGAAAACTGTAACCAAACCCCTTCATCTATAACACGGAAAGTGCATCATTCATTTCTTTATTGTCCAAGACCATAAGCAACATTTTGACCATAAACCCCTTTATCATAGAGCTCACATTCTCACAAGCAGCAGGCCCCATTGTGTGGTATTCTACTTCAGCACCTGTATTCTACTTCGGCATTTGATGTGGCAATCATATCTTGTTTCTTAGCCTTCCAAGAGATTAGGTTTTCACCAATCAAGATACAATACTGAGACATGGGTCATGACAACTAGCCCAGTCAGCATCAAAGCATCCCACGATATTGATATGTTTTCTATCTTCATAAAGGAAAGCACTCCTCATGTTTGGCTTGTGAAATCAGTAAATCATAACTGGAGAAGTCAAAATTTGGGCAGCATTGACTGAATTTCGAGTTCTCCCGTTCAGCTCCTAATATTTATCCTTAATGTGACCCTCTGTTGTAATGGTGAAGACACCACATGAATTATGTGTGTGCAGTCGAACTAGGTGTCTCTCCATATCCATCCGCCTCACCATATTTGGTTTTGGCATCGTCTGCCATCGCCTTGTCACTGTGGCATCCAGGCAGTAAACCTTCACGCCTTAGGCATGGCTGAAAGAAGTCTTTTTTTAAGTTATCGATCAAACTGCTCAATATGAATTCATAGAAGAGACGACAGCAACCAGATGAGTGTAAACTAAAAGCCCTAGCTTCCATCCAAGACCAGAGTCGAGAGCTTCACATCGGCTCTTCCTGTACCAGAGACCAGCGAGTAGGCAAATGACGAAGGTGAGGCGACTGATGATTAGCTGCGACCTGCCCGTGAATAGTAATTTTTCTCTCTCCTTTGTTTTCCATCTCTGCTAACTATTTTTCCTAGCAGCCAGCGTTTGACCTTTTCTATCTACTTTGTTTTTTTTTTCAATAACAAAAAAATGAAAATTAAAACTGCTATGGTAGCATTCATTCATTGAAACAATATATTTGTGAAGTTTATTGCACCAATACCCCCTATGGTTTGCTAAATGTGCAACGTTACCCGCCATGGTTTCAAAACTTACGTTGTTGCCCCCCATGGTTCTAGTATTCCAACGCCAATGCCCCTCCAGGCTAAAATACCCTTCAAGTATTAAGTGAATAGCTCTGCTCCCCCCTGTGGTTTTGGAAATTCGCACCAAAACCCACTCTCCTTTTTCTATATTATTTTCCATTTTTTCTTATCTTTTTTCATAAATGTTTTTTAAAGTCCTTTTTAAAAAAATCATAAATTTTTTTACGTTATTTATTAAAACAATTTTTAAAGTCCATATTGTTTTAATAATCAAAATTTTTTCGGTTAGAAATAAATAAATAAATAAATAAATAAATAAATAATAAAATAAAAAGCATTAAAGGTACACTTCATTTGTCTCAGATTAAATAATTTCATTTTGTCCAAAACAGGTTCTTATGGGTTCATTTTCATGATACAAAACCAATGAAACATTTTCACTTTTTGGAACTGAAGCTCATTTCACATTTTTTTTATGTAGAATAGATTTGAACTATGATGCCTATTAAATTTATATTTAATGAATTACGATATATTTTATAATGCTTTGAATTATAACAGGTCGCCAAATTGTCGCATAGGCGAATGCCTAGTCGACCAGGCGTCATGGCGGTCCACTAGCGCCGTGCCGCGCCTCGCCTTGGCGTTGTGATACTTATGAGTCTGACTATTTTTATTAAAAAAAGTTGTACTTTGAATGATTCTGGGACGGGTTCCTGCAGTGGTTGCCTTTTTCTAGATTCGTGAGGCAAGAATAGTATTTCTAGTAACAACAACAACATGAAAATCCTTGACCAAATGTTTGGTAGATGAAGAGGAAATGAAAACAAATGAAGAGATAACAGAAGCCATTTGGCAAACAGAGATATGATGAAGAAACTGGTAGAAAACAAAGAAGACAAGGGTGGTGACTGGTGACTGACCTCCCACAGCAGTGGAGGTGTGTGGAGTGTGGGCTGATCAATTCCGATGCTGGATGATATGGGTCTCAAGAAGAATACTCATGTCATTGAGGTGTTGGCGGAAAAATATTGGAGTGCATGTCTTGAAAGAACATGGTCTCTCCAGAAGGAGCAACATGTGGGAGAGACAATGTTTTAGGCACATAAAACGGCAGCTGGCAGTGATTTTTCTTGTAGCTGGTCACAACAAGGGGATATATGTAGTGGTGTGTTTGGACTTGATGAATCATAACCAAAGATTTATGCTTTCCATAAAGACTACAATACACGCCAGGAAGAAAATAAATAATGGCTCCTACCGAGAAATACACAATGGCTCTAACCTCATGAGAAAGTTTTTGAGAGAGAAATGATAACTAATTTAGGAACTCTTTTTTATGGAATTCTTAGTAATTATAGATGATTTACAATGGCCATATTTATAGCTAAAACACCGATGACAAGTAATGATGGCATCATGACCTTAGATACTGCTAAACAATGATATCATCTCTTTTTCTAAGAGTGGTCTCTTTCATCTAATCGGGGTTTCTTAAGAACCTTAGGGCTATATGGGAAGGAGAAATGAAGAATATCAAATACATAAATAGACTATATGGAGAAGGACCTTAAGACTATTACTTACAATGGGAGGTTCTTGAGCCTTCTCGCTCAATTTGGATTCAGTTTCTCCCAGTAAAACTGCAGGAACAAATGCCCTGTAAAAGAAAAGTTGACATGTGGCTCATATGATGAAAAGTAATGCCAGTGAAACCGCATAGCAAATTTTTGTGTAAAAATTTCCAGCGGAAAAGAACCTGAGATCTGGCAGACACTCATAGAAAGCCCTTGTATCCTCATCATCCCACAGGGCTTCTAAGGAAGAATCTTTTATACCACCCCCAGGAAATGATATGTCTTCCACTGATGTTACCCTGGTTGTGTGACCATCGTCACGCATCACAGGAGGTTGCATGTCTAGTGCCTCTGATAAACTGCAGCATATTGTACACAGATAAACCTTTAGCATTTCGATGGAAAATGTCTAGAAGCTTATGTGGTTTAAAAAAAGAAAATATTCCATGCAAAAGAAAAACTTAGAAGGCCGTCTATGAAATCAATGCCGCAACGAAACTTTTAAAGAAAGCACAGTTATATAGAAAGTAAAAAGAAAATGAAAGAAAATATAAGTCATGATATAGCATGTGAAACTGAGGATCTGAGTATAAGAAGAGTCCTAACTTAAACCCTAAAAATACCAAGCACCATAAGACTCATATTTTCATGGAGGGCATTCACTTTTCATTTTTTATGAAAAAACATTGCCAGAAATGTAGTTCCACTTGACAAGGTTCCCAACATGTGACACAATCCTTTTTGGAATTTAATTGATTCTACTTCTCAAAAAAACATATAAATGTGCGTGCATTTCAAATGTATTAAAATACCTTTAAATGGAACATTTAAATGTACATACTTATATTTTATAAACCTACAAAAGATTATAAGTGGATCGTTCTCGTGAGTTTCTTGAAATGACACAAAAAAAACATGCATAGACAGCCTAATAGTTGCACTTGATTGAAAGTGATTTCTAGATCCCAAACCAATCAAGTAAATGGAATATTGTTGCATTAGCCTTCCATGAAGTTACACAAGAACCTCATTAGATTTACATGCAATGGTAGAAATGTGCAGGATTATCAACTCACTTACGATGACACACCGCGGTACAACAGGTCATAAGCTTTCCGCTGCTTTTCATATGAAGAACCACTTTCCTCACCGAGTTCTCCTTTAGCAGCAAAAATCTTTGCATTTTCATGTTCCATTTGGCGAAGCAACTTTAATTGGGTATAAGGGAAAATAAATGTTCATCAATTATAACATTTGACTGACTGAATTTTAATAAAATTATAGTAATAAAATATTTCAGAATTAATAGTAGACCACATTTTCAAAGTTTCAAGAATTTCGCATAAAACCACAAAAGTAATCTTTAAAAAAGTCAACTCTTACAGCATGCTCTGACTGAAGAAGTTCAACAGCTGCATCATGATATGTTTGAAATGCTTTCCTTAAGAGCCTTTTCAACTCTGTTGTGACACTGAGGCCTTTAAAAAACTGCAATAAATTAAACCAAAATAAAATAATGGCTAACAATAAATGAATTCCATTGTTAGCCTAGAAAACCAAAACATTATGATATTACTCAAAAGAGAAAACTCTCGTATTTGGAATTACAGAATTCACAATCAGGCATAAAAATGGGGACAGCAGCACACTGACATCCATTTGGTTAGGCTTATCTACCTTAAACAGTCTATAATGCTACTATTTCCAAGGCTATCCAGTTTGAGACTAGTTGACGCAACAATTTTGAACAATTATATAGAACTCGGCTTAGGCATATCACATGGATCAAAGTTAAATTCAAATATTTAGTCCAGTATAAAATTTCAAAGCATTTGGACTCGGGTTTGTGCAGCTCAAGTTGCACCACGAAAAAATATGACATTAATTAACTCCCTATGAAACAAGATTTCTTTCCCATCATAAACATTGCTCATCAAGTTGTTGCATACGACAATCAAATTTCTAGTAGCACAGTCATATTAAAGAACTCCAAGTGAAAGGTTCAAATTGCAATAATGATGATATAAAATGATGCTTTCCAATAAAAACAAGCTTAAACACAGTTCTACCACTAAGTTCATTTGAACTGTTTTACCTCTTCAAAAATATCTTGGTCGGTGAGTTGAAGACCAAGCAAATATCTCCCTTGCCGAGCAAAACTCGCAAGAAGAGACAAATTTGTATGGGTTGTGTCACGGTCCTTCAAGTGTTCGATACTAGTTAGATCCTTAATAATGCTCACAAAGATGCTACAATCATTGATAACTCCAACAAAGTATAGTTCCAAAAGAAGTTTCAATGTGCTACGCTTCTTCATGGCCCTAGAATTCCTGTCTGATTCTAAGTCATCAGCAGATTTCCCAGGAAAGAACACTTTCATGAGGCCTTGAACTAGGCATGGTGAAAAATCTGGGTACCGTTGATGAAGCAAAGAGCAGACCTAAAAGGACAAAATAAAAAGAACAACTCAAATGAAGAGATAAATATTGAAAATCATTGCAGAAAGGCAAACAAGCACATTCTATTTCACATTTGTAATGGAAACCTTTCATGAGCATCTCCCAGTCAAGAACTGAACAGATGTGTTCTCAATCTATATCAATTTTTCAAAAGACTGCTTGAATAACAGCCACAAAAACACATGCAAAATATATAATCCGCTCATTACCAATAAGAGTCATTTTGACAATGTTTTTGCTTTGAGTAAATAATGAACTATATCAAAACGATACATCAAACTTCCCTTCTTAATTTCTATAAAGTTTTGGGTAATAATGCATTATTGCATCAAGGGTCTAAGGGAAACATCCTCTCCTCTCCGTTTTTATAGGGGTAAAAGCAGTTTACATCTTGACCGCCACACCCACGGAGTTGGGATTGTACTAGGTTTGTTGTTGTTGCCTTTGCTTTGGGCAGCCATCAAGGTTTTGACTTGTGACTTCTATTAAGAAATATAATTAAAATAGAAATTTTTTGGTTTCATGAACATTTAGCAGATAAAAAAATCAAAAACATTTGGATGAAGAGATTCAGGCCAAGCTAAGAATAACTCAGGGTTTTATAGTGTCTATGAATAACAGAGATGTAAAATGCAGAAACAGATTATCTTGCGAGTTAAATGCTTCATACACATAAGGTATCCAACTAGCCAAGGATAGAACAGGTTCTCAATGTATGGACCAAGACCGTTCTAAATGACTAAATAAACATATAAATATTAGCAGAAAGCTTCCAAAGGAAAGATTCGAAGCGATCACAAATAATGTCACATGAAAACGATAACCTAGATATCAACTTATGATAATTTGGCAAGTCAATTAGAGCTCAAACCAATAACTACCTGAACAGTAGCTTGAATGTCTACCGACCGAAGCTTAGCATCACAAATAGCAGAAACTGCTTCACTAACAAATTTACTTAAGTTCACACTCTGCAGTTCATCAATCAAACCTTCTCGCTGCTCTTCATTAATTTGCTTGAGTTTCTTAATTACTGCAGTATTACGCTTAATGCTGGAATCCAGTGTCCTCAGAAAGCTAGGGTCTGAAATGATAAATAAAAAGATAAGAAGACAACACAGCAACAATAACAACCCAGTGGGATTCCACGCAAGTAGGATCTGGGGAGGGTGTATGTAAACAAACATTGCCCCTAATCGAAAGTAGAGAGGCTGTTTCCAAGAGACCCCCGGCTCAAGCTGAATAGATTAGACAAGTTGAAAAAATTTACACTAGTAAAATAATCACCCATTTTTTAAATTATCAAGATACATTACCCCCTATAAGGAAATGGGTTCCCACGCATTACCTAATTTTGGAATGGCTGACTCAACATAAGGACTATGGAGATTCGTAATTCGTGGGTGGAAAAAATAAAAGCTACGCGTGCACACACACACACACATGTGTGTGTGTATAAACACACAATCCCTTTGTCCCATTAAGATTTTCCTATTGCGGCTAATGATCCTTGACAGTTGACACAAGTTATTTTCAACTCAATTTGCAGGAAAATTGATGAAAAATTTAAAAAAAAAATTTATATATTTAAAATTATACATCAAATGTTGAACAAAACAAAAGGTGACAAGACTATTATTTTATCAAATGAGTAATGAAATTAGAGGAAGAAAATGGAAAAAGAATAGAGAAATTTTTTTTTGGGGTGGAGGGTGTGTGTATTAAAGCTACAAAACTTTTTTATACATCATTTCTTGCAACACTCATATCTTTCATTTGGATTGTTTTCGTGTGAAACCACCGATGATTGAAAGTTTCTAACCCATAGATCATTATTCTAACATTTCACAAGAGTCCAATATTTCGTAATTCATTTTATGGAAAATAATGTAACATATAAGCCTAAAACATGTTAAAATATGAGTTGTTTTATTTCAATCTTGGAATCTTTTAATCTTAGGAGGATAACATGTGAGTTATGAGTTAGTAACTTTCAATACTGTGATGGAATTTAGATAAGACTACAACAAAGGAAAGATATGGATATTATAAAAATGGATGTCTAAGGACATATATATATATATATATACACGTACACACACACACACGAGCCTTAATCTTACAACATAATTTTTTACAACAAATGTTACAACAATCCAATTGGGGCCCCTAAGGTGCTCCGTTCGTAAAATTGATGGTTCCTAACCCCCCCCCATCTAATCGCCGATTGGCAGCAAAAGTTTGTGATGTACCAACTACCAAACACTTCTTTCACTTCTAATTGCGTACCTTAGAACACTAAGTTTACAAATACTCTCTCTCTCTTCCACAAAAACGTTCCACATTTTCTCTTTTGTTTATCGCAAAAAAAAGGTCCCACTTTCCATTTTCGAAAAGGTTTTTGTAGTTCATATTATTTCTCTCCTTTGCACCACTTTCAAATTTCTTAATCTTCGTGCCCAATCAAACGTTGATCATTGTTGCAGAACGGAGGGAGTATTGGACTAATTGCTTTAAGTCTTTCTCTTACCCAACTCCTTAGAGAACTGAATCCATTGAAAAAATATGTTAGCAAAGATGATATGTTGGAGCTCAACAAATTCTCTGCTAGTTTGGACACATGTCCTTCCATTACACAATTTAAGGAAGAAAAGCAAATCAGGGCCTCAAAGGCAAACAAGACATACTTCTTGGCAGCCCCAATAGTGTCAATCTTACAATATAAAGTTGAGTGCAGAAGTACACTTTATTAGTATTCAATTAAGGACCAGTGGGTGCAAACCAGCAATAATTGGACATGTTTAGTTTCATTGTAAGTGCTCAATTGCAATTAATATGTTCCATATTTTAAAATATAGCAAACGGGTGCAGTCATTAAAGTACCTGGCTTTTCAGGATGAAAATTGCTTTGTCGTAGAGCCATTTTTGCCTCAATAGATCTTTTGAATTCCTCAAGGCGGGCAACTGTTTCCTGAATCATCATAAATGCATGCATGTAAAATACTCACTGTCCCAAAATCAAATTGTCATTTGAGAATGGCACATAGTTTAAGAAAAAAAAGTTACTCAATGGCACTACTTCTTAATGGAAATGTAAATTAAAAGAGACAACCAAAAAAGAAAGTGTAAACTTGATTTTGGGACACGGGGAGTATAATATAAAGAAATACTTGGGAGAAATCAGTTGCACACGTTATATATGCCCAACTACGCAAGTGATGGACAGATGTAAACCCCCTGATTTAATTAATATAAATGGGTAATGAGTGAGTCTCTGTTGTGGTGTAGACTCATCCTTGATTTAAAGTAGCATTATCCTCAAAAAAATAACAGGAGGATGTTGGACCATATACCTCATCTTCTTGTTTCTCCTGGTGACCACCGGAGCCATTGCATCCATCCTCTGCATTTTCCATATTTCCCTACACTAGCAAAAACTATCTACCAAAGATACAGCGCAATTATCTTCAAAGCTCCCTACTTCCGACTGTAGAGTTCTGCTTCATACACACATTCCCAGTTTTAGGGCTAATAGAATATCAGTAATACGGTGTTTTGAGATTTCAAATTTTGACCATCTTTCGATTACTTTACTCGTGATAAAACATCTTAGGGGGTGTATTCGATTCAAATTTTAAAAGATTTTGTAAGATTTTTTAGAATCCATGGATCATACAAATTATGTAAAAACCATGGTTTCTTTCAATTTGTAATCAATTATTGATATTTGATCAATCTATGAACTTTTGGAATCCAAACAAATCCTAATATTACAATACATTAAACTCAACCACAAAGTCCACATAGAATTAAAATAATCAATGAATTTTACATAATCCATGGTTTCTAAAAAAATTACATAATCTTTTAAAATCCAGATTGAATACACCTTATACACTAAATGTTTTATCATGAGTAGAGTATTGGAAGGATGGTCAAATTCCAAATTATGTAACACTATATTACTCATATTCTATTAGCCCTAAAATTGGGAAGATGTGTATGAAACACTATACTCCTATTATTATATACAGAGTTTTAGAAAAAACAAAATACTTTAACACTATGTTTGGTTCAGAGAATTTGAAAGGGAAAACTGAAAAAAATAGAAAAGAAAATGGGATGGAGCATTTTTTTTTGGTTAGAGAGGAGGAGAAAAGAAAAGTGGAAGGAAAAGAAAATGAGAAGGCAAACTGAATTAAGAGGAGTGAAAACCAAATTCCTCCCATTTTGGGTAAGAAAATGAGAGAACAGTTTTCTTTTCTTTTTGAATTCCTTGAACCAAACATAGTGTAAAAGAAATAGAGAACGAAAAGCGAAATTTAAAAATAGGTGACTTAAAAAGATTAGATTTTTCAAATAAAAAACAAAAAAGAAGTTCCAATAAAAATAAGATGAGATAAATAGAGCAGTGTCATCATATAGCATCTAAAAGTACTAGTTAAATGCTTACAAGTTTAATAGCTCAAATGAACATTAAAAAGATAGAAAACAAACAATCTGCACACATTGAATACCCATTCTGGAAAATTAAAAAATTGAACCAGTAATATATTAATAACAAGTATGAGCAGAGAAAATATTCAAAGCATTTGCAGATTAGAAGCCCTCACTTGATGCACTTAACTACTTAATGAATTAATTAACTATCAATGGAGGTATATATTTTTTAAAATCTATGACATCTCCTAAGAAGAATATACATGATAATAAAAAATTTAACCAGTAAATATACCAATCGGATTGCAGATTAGAAGCTGGGTAGAGAAGCATCAGCCGCGGCCGTGTGCTGAAGCCGCTGGTGTGCTACTTTTACCGGTGGCTTTCACAGGATGGCTGCGCTGCGTGACGACGAACGACTGACGAGATATGAGGACGGGAGACAGAGGCGCAGAAAGTAGAGGCGACTGAGATCCGATCGAAGGCGTGCAGATAGTAACCAGTAAGGGGATTGTAGATTGTTTGATGTTTGGTTAGGCTTTAATTAAGCTATTGGGTTAGGTTAGTAAAACACAGAGAAAAGTACCAAAATAAGATTTTCATGTTTTTTTCTTGGAATAGGACTTTGCACTGTGGTAATGTGATTTTGCATTGTGGTAATGTGGCAGTGTACATGTGCAAATTACTATATTTTCTTGGTAATGTATATGACCATGGTTGGTAATGTAAGTCCTATTTCGAAAATAAAAACATGAAAGTCCTATTTTGGTATATTTTTAATGTTTTAGTTCTACTTTGGTCTTTCTCCCTTGGGTTAGAGGTCAAAACAATAAACAGTTCCTATATTTGTTGTTTCCCATGTTCCTACCCCTAAGGGCCTAACATGGTAATCCCCTCTCCCAACCAATGTTCTAAAAACCGGATCGGGACTTCGACTCGGAGAAAGCACTGGGTCAAGGGTTAACTGGTTGAACCGGGGTCAACTCGGGTCAACGACCCGGTCAAAGTATAATTAAAATTCTAATATTATATATTACGTATACCATTAGATATTTTTAGTTAAAAAGTATTTAGTTTGTGTTATTACTTCTCCATCTAGTTTTAAAATCAAAATTAATTTAGAGGTGTAATTGAAATGGTCGGGACGGGATAAGGATAGGAGTCGTCAATTTTACGAACGGGACACTAGAGCACCCCGGTTCATCCTATTATGAACATAATAATAACAAGAACAATAAAAATGATAATAATCTTGATAATAATAATAATAATAATAATAATAATAATTACAGTAATAATAAAAATAAAAGTAATATGCACACAAAACATTACTCATTTTGAATAGTATTTGGTTAGATAGTTACACACATTGACTACAAATTGCGAGAAAAACAGATTGAATTATAAAGGAGTATAAATTTAACATAATTAGATCTATCTATCTTATTATCTAATTTTGATATATCAAATATTTATAGCATTTTTTTATTTAGATTATATTTAATTTATGGTTAAAGTTATAATTGTTTGACCAAAAATAGATGAAAATAGGTACTACTTCCATCCTGTTATATTCGTCCACTTTTGATTTTTGGAACTGTTCATCTAAGCACTCTGGCTCATCAAATTCTCTCAATGTGTAAGCCTAAATATAGTCATGTGTGATCTTGTTTGATTTGTCTTAACATATAGATTATTAATACTCGTATATAATTTTTTAATATACAAATTACAAGATAAAATGGATTAAAGAAGTGTATCAGATAATGTGTAAAAATGAAAGTGAACAAATACTCTGAGACGGATGGAGTAATATTTTGTGAAACACGGGGAGTAATTTGGAAGAACTAAACTCAAAGGAAAAATATTAGACAAATCTAACATGAGTTTACAAAAATTGACCATATGTGTATAATAAATAAATATAAATTCCATTAAAGAGTAAAACACAGTCCCCAGCAGCCATCCTCATCTAAAAATGAGGCAACAAGCAGTCCCAAGCAGTACATAATTCCTCCGTATACATTTCATGTTATCATCCGAACAAACATTTACCAAACCATACATTCATTCAATACCATCATCAATCATCATCAGTATTTGGCGGAAGGAATGGAGTCCCAAGCTGATTCCCCCTGGGCGGCGCGCGGCGGCGGCGGCGGCATATCAAGCGACATTTCTGACACACTCCAGACCTTCACAGACTTGTCCAGGCTCCCACTGTACACGATCCACTTCTGGTCGTTTTCGCCCCCGGCGGATTCCTTGTCCTCCGTCACCGCCAGACACTTCACCGGCCCGTTATGCCCCGTCAAGATCGACAGGCACGTGTGCACCGACCCGTCCCTCTTCCACACGCATATCGTCTTATCGGCCGACCCGCTGAACACCGAGTTCCCCGCCGCCGCGAGGCAGAGCACCGCCAGCTTGTGCCCTTTCAGCACGCCGCCGTGCGACATTTGCTTCTCCCGCTCCCAGAAATTCACCACCCCGTCGGAGGACCCGCAGTACAGGACCGACCCGGTCTTGTTCACCGCCAGCGCCGTCACGGCGCACTCCTGGCTCAGCAGCGTCTGCACGAATACGTGCTTCACCCCCTTCCCGGAGGCCTCCCTCTTCCAGACCTTGACGCTCCCGTCGGCGGATCCGGTGTACACCATCCCGCCGGAGCTCGCCACCACGGAATTGACGGCGTCGTCGTGGGCCTTGACGGACTCGAGGCACTTGGAATTCCCCGCCCTCCACACCTTAAACGTCCTGTCCCAAGAAGCAGAGTACAAAAGCCCTGCTTCCGGCTCCATGCTCAGGCAAGATATGGCGTCGCAGTGCTTGATCCACAGGGCGGTCCGGTTGCGCTTCACCTCCACGTAATTGCTGGGTTTTATAGACGCCTTGAAAATGTCGAAGAAGGTGGGGAAAGTCCCGGCGCGTTTGTGGACGGCGGGGTTCTTGGGATTGACCTTCCAGACACGGACCTTGCCGTCCTGGTGTCCGGTGAAGATCTTGTCGCCGGAGATTATGATTGCCTTGACGAGACCGCTGTTGGATTTGAAAGCCCCGAATTCCTTCATCTCCTTCCAGACCCGAATGTTCTTGGAGTCGGAGCCGGTGTAGAGGATCCCGTCGCGGGCGGCGAGGGAATAAATGTGGCCCTCCTCCCGGACCAGAGATCCGATGAGGCCGTTCAGCGGGTGCTTCTGGGAGGCGTTCGCGTTGCCGCTGTTTTCATCCCACGGCGACTTCTCGAAGGGGGTGCTCTGGTTCCAGGGCGACATCATCATGGGGGAGCCCTCGCCGCTGAGGCGGGTGGCCTCGAAGCCGGAGTAGCTGCTGGGACGGTTGTTGTTGAAGTCATCGTCGGCGGAGGAGGAGGAGAAGTTGGGATCGGAATGAGGCGCCGCCGCCATGTCGTCGCCGTTGTTAAATATCAGCCGTCTTTGGGAATAATAATTAATACCGGAGGAGTATATGTATAAAAAGAAATCAAAGTCGGCTTTCTTTCTGAAATCTTTTCTTCAATTTCTTCTTATTGGATCATTGCGATTCGGGATTTAAATGAGGAATGTGAGTTTGAGGTTGTGAAACGGGAGGAAGATCGAATTTGATTAATAACCAGAGATTATTTTGATGGTACCCAAACAAATAAAAAAAAAAGTACGAGCGAGTGAGGGAGAGCCTTTTTAGGAACCAAAATGCACAGATTGATGCACGTATGTATGTATGGTATGTATGTATCTATATATATAGAGAGAGAGAAGATATACAGAATAGTTACCCACTTACGCATGGGCGGGATGGGATGCGAATATAGAACATTGCCACGTTTAATTGGTCCATTATTAGTGCCTATTCCATGAACTTGGAACCCAATAATATTGGACCTAGGGAAGTATTAGAACCCATATCATGCGAGCGGTGTTGCCAAGTTGACAAGAACAGAGATAATTATGCTGAATCTAGAACTTTTGCAAGTATCGATTATTTGAAAAAACAACTCCAAACATTGATCCGACAATCCAAAAGCAACGAACTATAAAAGTTTGTTCGGGCACAATTTGTTCGATTTTAATGATTCCTGTTTACGAATTCAAAATCCTAATATATCCAACAATTATAACCTTACACATAAGTCATGTCACACTCTGATCGCTTCTTCAATTTTGTCTCCAACAATTATAACCTTACACATAATTATAACCTCTCATTTGAGAAATGCATGTACTATAATGGCGCTTGGACAACATGATTTTTAGCCTTTCATCAATTATTTTCGTTGCATCGCAACATGTTAATTACGGAGTAATTAGGAATTCCTCTTCATGCGTAAAAAAACGGCATAAGCTGACCTACGTACATATTTTGGGTTGCCTCTACCATATGATCATTCATGATTTTAATTCTTAATTTCATGGAAAGTTGCCAGCTTTCCTACGTGATCGATCATTATTCCGCTAAGATTCTGTCTAATTTTGACTTTTTACCGTTAATGAGTATCGATAAGAGTTGGGAAAACGGTCGATCATGCCATATTTGGGTTACTTTGAGTTCAGGTTCGGGTTGAGAGCTACATGTTCATGATCCAGTATCATCGGATTCGTTTTGACCCAACGGATCATAACTTTCATTTATTT